GCACCTTGAGGTCTGGGAAGTTTCCCACTGTTTTTGTTTTCCCAGCTTCGCCGTGTGGTAAGGACACGCTGCGTATGCGCAGACAACCGCAAGGGATGTGAGGGATGGATTCCAGGAGCTCTGCTCTGTAAACACATTACTGGTGCCATTTCAATTAAAGGAGAATCTCTCCCAGACGGCCAGGCACGAGGCTTATTCCCTATAACCTGCAACTTTATCGAGGCACATAAAAACGCTGGCTGTCCCTTTTCCCCCAGTTCAAGTCTGAACTCTTCAAAATTGACAGGATTATTATTATTTTTTTTTTCTTTCTGGTGTTTTTGCAGCGTTAGCAAACTGAGGTACTTAGCATATTATGTGCTAGGACTGCAAAGAGGTAGAAGGGACCAGAGCCTTGGGCATGCAAATTCCACTGGAGCTGAGAGGAATTACCCACCCAGATCATCCTGAGAGGATGGGACCATGTCTCAGAATGGTATATCAGAAGACTGGGTGTCTACAAGAAAGCAGCAGCAGGATTTTGTAAGAAGTTTCAGAATAGTGAGTATCAAATTGAGAAAAAATAGGTAGATATTGGTCTTTTAGGAGGATAAGGTTTCATCCAGAGAAGATCTCCAGCACCCTTATGCTGAGGCAACAGCTCTACAGACAAAGTTTTGCAAAAAATCTCCCCACCACAGAAATCTAGCACTACTGGCTGAAGAGCAGGAATGAGGTGATTCCCCCTATTGCTCAAAAGACAAAAAATGCTAATCAAAACCACATATGCTTCCATCACAGCAAGGGATCAAAAGCTAAGCCCAATGGAAAACACAAATCACATCTCTGCAGTAACAGCATGTCTGCATATGAGCACCTCTAACATCCCAGTTAGCAGGATAAGCAGTCCTACCCAAAACTGAGGAGAGGAATGACTTGGTAGGCCTGGGATCCCAGGTTCTGCGACTGGTGTGCTGCACGCTTTTCCTATAACCTTGAGTAAGTCAGGCCACCTTTCTGAGAGCCACTTGTCCTTATTCTCAGTGAATTACCGTGTGCAAGATGTATGGCATCCCCTTCACCTCTACAGCTCCAAACCATCAGCAGGAGGGGTAGGGGAAGAATTTCTCCAAAGCCTCACACTGTTAAAGGGAGTTCCCTCTGAGGAATTGTCATGCTGCAAACTTCCCTGGCACAGCAAAAAGTGCAAACCCAAGGCAGATTCTGATTCTTCTTTGCTAATAGAAAATAAAACACTCTTTTACAGGCTGAGGGAGTTGGGGTTGTTCAGCCTGGAGAAGAGAATGCTCTGGGGAAACCTTATAGTGGCCTTCCAGTACCTAAAGGGGGCCTACAGGAAAGCTGGGGAAGGATTCCTAAAAAAGATTTAATTAGGTATCAGGAAGAAATTCTTCACTATGAGGGCAGCGAGGCACTGGCACAGGCTGCCCAGAGAAGCTGTGGATGCCCCATCCCTGGAGGTGCTCAAGGCCAGGCTGGATGGGGCTTTGGGCAACCTGGGCTGGTGGGAGGTGTCCCTGCCCATGGCAGGGGGGTGGAGATGGGTGGGCTTTAAGGTCCTTTCCAACCCAAACCATTCTGTGCTTCTAAACTGGTTTTCCAGAATGCAAATAGGGAGAGTCAGCCATGTTGCTCATAGATCCAAGGGAAATAGCAAGGCCCACAAAACTCTGCACAAACTGAAAAAAGGAATAAAAGTGTAATCAATATAGTTAGGGATACTGATGGATGAGAGGGATGCGCTCCTACGCTTTCTCTCCTGATGGTCATGATATACTGGAGCCTGCAAAACTGATTTCCTTAAAGTATGAAGAGCGATAAAAATAGAAGAAATTTTGCATCAGAACACAATGATGAAAACTCTGCCAAAGCCTAAAGGAAAAGCAGAGATATAACCGAGATGGCATCACACTATGGATCAACCTGCCACTGGATCAGGCACAGACACTCATGACAAATGGGCACAAGGGATGCGGCGCAAATACAGTGTGACACCATATCCTGGGCATACGCTTGATGTATGGAGGATTAAATACCACACACACACATTGTCCTGGGTAGATTCTATCTAGTGTTGACAGATACCTGAGGGATCTGTCTCTTTCTTTATACACTTTGGCAATTGCCATGCCAACACAGGATTATGGGACCGGGGGGGTGAGGAGGAGAGATCATTTGCTACTCTGTTTAACAGAGGCCTTATCCTCTGGGGGGATTTTGTCAAGATGCTGGACTTCTTAAATGATATTTCTACCTGCCTTAACACATTTGGGGTTGATGGCCATTTCTCCTTTCCTCTGTCCCTGTGACACAACGTCTCACTCCTCCGCAGTCCCAAACCAGCCTTAAAGCAAGCGTGGCTTCTGTAAGCCGGGCTGAAGGCTGCTGCCCTCAACCCCCGATCCCACGCATGCTGCAAAGAGAGAAGAAAGTAGGTAACGCTGCTGCAAAGCCCGATTCCTTTCCCCCTCTGACTGACGGCTCCGTTTGTCAAGAGAGACAGGCTGTCTTGAGCCTGAGATAGCTAACTATCACCTGGGGAGGCTATTAGAGGGAGAGGGAGGGAGAGGACGTCAGACAGAAACACAGACACGGCCAGACAGACAGAGGGAAAGGTGAGCTGAGGAAGTGGAAAAAGGAAAGGAGTGACAGAAGACTGCAGATGAGAGAAAGACAGTAGCACTTGATGAATTAAGTTGTCAACTTTGGCATCACCTGTGTACCTTGTCATGCCAATAAATTCATTGAAGCTGAAGCTGCACTGAGAGTTAAGAGTGAGAGTGCTGATGGAAGGAAGAAATAACAGCCCATTTAAAGACTCAGAGCAATTTATTAGTTACCTCCGAAGGGAAGCAGTGACACCAGGGAAGGAGAGGTGCTCCTCCCTCACGCTGGGCAGGAAAACTCGTTTTGGATTCGAGACACCCACCCAGCTGCACTGCAGACTGCAAGGAGATCGACAGAGACCTGGTTCAAGAAGGAGAAACGCAGGGAAGAGACTCGCTGACGTCCAAGGGGAGCAGTGCAGATGTGCTTCTTTGTGCCTCAAGCCATCCCTTGACACGTGGAAGGAAGATGCTGACAACAAACAGGGAAACGTTCGTGGTGTGAGAGGAGGCAAAAGGTGCTGAACGTGGTCAGCACTGCAGTACTGGGGGAATGTGGACAGCGGAGATGGAAACCACAGCTCCGGAACAGAGGGGTGCTGTGATACAAAGCTGAGAGGGAGATAAAAATCTGCTGAGTTTGAAGTTGGAATCACAGCACCAGTTGGGCAGGATTACTGGAGGGATTTCCTTCCAAGAAGGAGAAATGAGCACTTATACTGCATTTTGCTCCTGAAACTTCCTGCCTCTTCGAGAGCTCTCATTTGGCTGGTGGTCTGTGAACTGCCAAGCAGCCAAGACAAAGCTGTCCTGCCTGTGGTCCCCCGAGCTGCACAGTGCAGCTCTGTTGGCTGCCTTCAATTTGATAGGAAATGAGCACGGGGAGCCCACTGAGCCAGGCTCCGTTCTGATCTGACTGGTCCCCACATCAGATCAGCTGTAGTGCCCTCAGGCTGCGGCGCGGTATTAAAGTTGAGGGCAGCTTTAATCTGCTCTGCTGTTTGCACAGTGGAAGCTGTGCTTCACCTACTGGGAAATCACAGAGACGTCCCTCATTTGAGCAAAGTGGGCATTTCTTTTCCAGGAGTTGTGATCTGTGGGTTCGTGCAACTTAGTTTAAACGATCCAAACTGGTGGCTGCCAACTTTTCTCACTCTGAGGACACCTTGCAATTTCCCAGGGGAAGTACAGGCTCCGTGTAGTGAACGTAACCCTCCTGACAGCTGATTCTGCTTTCCTGAGGTGCACAGGCTTTTTGGGAGGCACAGACGGAAGGGGGAAGATGACTCGGTGAAGGACCTGGGGGTGAGAAGGTAAGCTGGTGCTTAGCTCAGCCTGCAATGCGGAACAAGAAGGGTGAGCTGAGGAGCAAGGCTGCCTACACAGAAGGGTTGGTACTGAGATGAACTAAGAAAAGCCAAAAAACTGACAGCAAGCTGCCCTGCTCTGTCACACCAAGAGATCCTATGCTGCAGAGCCCAGTACTATCTTAGCTGAAGGATGCAGAGAGCTTTGAGCAGGTCCATTTACCCAGAGAAAAAGCTGCAAAGCAAGGAATTCAACAGGAATCAGTACTTGTGATTGTATGCCAGAGTTGTGCACACCAATTTCATAGAGAAATGCAAGGAATAAAGAATATTTTATGAAGAAACAGGTAGCAATGGACTGCAAAAGATACTGAGGGCTGGCAGAAGGGGGAACGGAGGGCAAAGCAGAACCAGTAGGTGACTGACAAAATGGAGAACAAATCATGTAATTAATCTTGAAAAGACCTTCTTGAATAAAAATATGGTAACAAAAACACAGGTAAGGAGGACACAGAAGAAGCACAAGCCTGCAAGAAGCATGCCCACATATACTGCCTTGCTGCCAGCAAGCTATCTCGTGGCTCTGAGATGCTTGTTCAACCCCTCTTTACCCTCTTTTTTTCCTCCTCCTCTGCCTCTTCTCTCTCCCAAGACTTCGGATCAAGGAATGCCCCAGCCCTGTACGTGTGCATACAATATTTAATGCACCATTAGCCTTGGTCTTACTTGAGCTTTTGGGTTATTGTCACAACAGAAGTGCAACAGCCCAGAATTTCAGACTCACCACTCTGCAATTTGACCAAGGTTTTTTTTTTTTTCCTTTTTTTTCTCTTTTGCAAAGACTGGTGCTGTAATCCAGGCCTACTTTTAGAAAACCTAATTTGCAGACATGATACCTTGCAGAGGAAACATTATTAGCTGGAAAATTTCCTGCCTCAAAAAGCCGTTTATAAACAGCCGTGACCAACCTGCTCTCCTGGAACTGCTGAGGAGCCCAGAACACCTCAAAGAAGGCTCGCCTGTAGCTGGGTCTAGCCAAGGAACTGATAATGGCATTGTGAAGCAATGATGGGATCACGCTAGAGGCTACAGAAAGGAAGAAAGACTTTTATTTGGAAATACCATTCAATAGTAGGTATGCTGATTAATAAATAAATGAAAAGAGGTGACATTCATGATGACATTTAAATAACTGAGGTGCCAACTGCTCGTTAAAATACCACATGGTAAAGAAAGAGGCAAACAAAGAAACAGGGCTTGGACAAGCAGTGAGTAACGGTGACCCAATCAATTTAACTATTGATAAAACACAGGTGAGGAAATATTCGGGAAAGAAAAAAAATCTCTGCAAATCATCAGCTAATGGATTAAATGCATCTGAGTGCGAGATGGAAATTAACCGATCAATTCACTCAACAGCTGCTAATTACATGTGACAAGGCACGCAGAATTCAGCAGGTACACGGGGCTCAGAGGAAAGCAGCCCTGGCAGAAATATTTGGAGGCTGCCTCTTGCCACCGTGGGGTAGGATACTTACCCCAGCGAGAAAACTGCGATTGCTGATTAAATACCAACTCTGCAAATATTTGAAGTCTGTATTTCAAGAGCGTGGAAAGGAGGGTTCTTTCCTACTGCTTCCTAACAATTCGCAACATTAGGTATAAATATACGGTATCAAAATTAACATGCCAATCTAAACAAAATTAAATGTAATGATACAGTCAAAATGAAACGTTTTTGCCTCATTTGCAGTTAAACGTTTTGACATTAGCAAAATGAAACGAGGAAGTTAAAATGATTTGTTGTGACACTCGTCTGTCAAAAAAATTTGTTGCATCACCACGCTCCTGCAAAACACTTTGACGCCGGCAAAACTGATCTGCCAATGGGAAGCTCTCTCACTTCTTCTGATCACTGCTTTCAGAGTTTTATTCTGAATCATCGTTCACAGCAGTACATGGCTGACCACTGATCCATTTCAGTTTGCGTTGGTCTTAGGAATGGTCTTAGGAAATTCTGCTAGTTTTTCTCTCCCCTTCCTATATACTGACCCCTTGGGACTCCTTCAAAGTAATGCCCTTGGAGAGTCAGCAGATTGAAGGAAATCTAGGAAAATAAAGAGCAGTGATGAACTAATTGATCACCAGGGAAAGATTAGTACCAAAATGCGTTTTTTTCATGAACTAGATCAGAATGGGAACCTCACTGGTGCAATTCTCACCTTGCACTGTAGCACCGAGTTTGGAATTCACTTTTGGAGCAAGAAGAAGGACTAAGCCCATATTTACCTTACTGCCTTCACCAGTGAATAAATTATTAATTCAATGGGGAAAAACAGTGTGAATTGTAAACCGGATGGAAGTTCTGAATCAGGTAGCTCAGGACTGAAGTTGTAACTCAAGCAATGCCTATTCTAGAGATGATGAGACCTGGGATGGGGCAGTCTTCCAGATTCATCAAGCCAACAATATTTATCACCCATTCTCAAACCCCAACCCTGTAACTTGTGAGGGTCTAGTATGCTCTATGCATGGCCTATGATGCTATTTTTAGATTGTTTTTAAAATTCAGGGTTGAAGGGAATTTGGAGGGCTTAATGTTTAATACTGTGCTTCATGAACTCCTGCTAGCAAATTTAATTCAATCTGTCTTGGGTTAGGAGCACTGTCACGGATTAGAAATTGCCTGAAGAACCATAAACAAGGGATAACGACAAGGGGCATGTAAGAGCAAAGTTGTAAGTAGTTGTAAGTGAGGTGCTGCAGGAATCTGTGTGAGGTCTGCTTTCATTTAACATCTTCATTAATGAGCCTGAAGAAGTAGCTCTCTAATGAAAAGCTGGGGATGATGCTCAACTGGGAGGAGCTGCAAACATCCATCAGGGCAGATGAACAAAAAGGGATATGCAGGGATTAGGTACAGGGGCAGAAAAGAACTGAACAAGTTAATTAGCTCTACTGAGGAAAAAAAAAAAAAAAAAAAGCTGACAATTAGGCAAGATCATGGGTCTGAAGAGACCTGCACACCTTTTTAGACAGAATGGGCGTGCAACTTTTAGATCAAGTTTCTTAAAGCACTGATGAACATAAAAACATGCGTTGTCTAAATTCTAGATACGTAAATGTTAAAGCAGCCTGGCCTGCTATTAACAAGGTACAAATGTAATTTAAGGCCCAATCTAGGAGGCATCAGTTCTGGGGATGGCACATTAGCTCATCTCTGTTTTTGTAGACAGGTTAAAGTATATCGACTTTAATAGTGTTTCAAAGATAATGCTTCCCTCATTTGAGGCCCAATAAACCACACTGAGTAAGAGGGAAGAACACTGACACTTACGCAATCAATATGCTGAAGAGTAGTGCTGAAGAAATGGAAGGTGATGGCAAAATCCCTGGGACCTAGGCAAATTGCATGGTGGAAAAGTAAAGTTTCAGACAAATTATGAAGGCACCATGTGGTGGAAGTGGTGCTAAGGTGGACCTCTCTAAGATTACAAAGTCAATGGAACAATTTATCCAGGTCTGCTGCAGTGCCTGAAAGATGTAGAAAAAAAACAACAGGAGAGGTACTCCTTGGCTTGACAAATCTGAACATAAAAGAGGACACAGCCCCTGCATGACTACTCACTCCAACACAAAGACTGAACTAGACCAGTGCTCATTCCACCCTATTCCACAGTATGACTAAGGATAATGACTACAGGCAGCCTTCATCTGAGACGGATCTCTATACAGCTTGCAGTTAGCTAGAGAAAAACTTGATATCCAGCTCCCCAATTAGCCTGAAGCACCTCCTCTGTGCTCTTGACATCTATGCTCTTGAAAACTTGGCCAGAATTGGCCCTCCTCACTGTGAATGCAGAAGGCAACAGGACTGCATTTTAAAGGGGTCACTATTTCATGGCGAACACTACTAAAAATCTAACTTATCCCCTATTACACCTGTGTTCCCTTCTATTTAGTACTTGTACCTTCATTTTTATTTTTTTTTAAGGGAAGATGAAAGAAAATAAACAATCCAAAGAGAATAACTAATCAGGAATGAATAGATGCAAGCAATCTTGGCTGTCCCTTCGTCCCACCACCTGTGGTCAATTTGTGCCTACTCCAGCTCCTTGGTTGGGGGTACTTAAAACGACTGGGGAATAAAAAAAAGTGGAAAAAAATAAGTATGCTACAAAATGTATGCTTATGTATGCTAAAAAATTCTGAGCGGCAGGGGTGTCAAGGGACAGAGAAGACAAGGAAGTTATCAAAAATAGAATATTTTACTGATTACAGCAGTTCAGAGCTAGGCCCTGCCACTCACTCGCTCTCATTTTGGGCAAGTTCCCACATGCCTTGGCTCACTGGGAGTAAAGATGCTTTTTTCTACCACTCCTTTTTTATCTGGTCTGTTTAGATTGTAGGCTCTGCAGGGCAGAGACCATCTCTTGGTCTTTGCAACCTTTGAAGGACTTGACAGGGGCCTGCGGACAGTACACCGGTTTTAATCAGAATAAGCAAAATGAAGCGATGTTCCCCGGTCTGTACCATAAAAATGTGAAACCTAAAGTTAAAAATAAAAATCTATTTTTTAGTTAGCTAAGAGCTAAATAAAGAATCTGAACTAGTAGTTCACTCACAAAAATGTGCTTTTAATTCTGCATGCTGTTCATTGTAAAATGGCCAAATTAAATATTAAACCATTCCTAAAAAAAAATTTAAAAAATTGCAACCGGGCTTCAATAGAACTTGGCAACTCAGTCCGAAATGTATTTTTTTCCCCTCAGAAAATGATAAGCAGGATGCTTAAAATAACATTGTTTGAGTTAGGTAGTCTAGTTCCATTTTTAAAGGCAACGAGGTGAAGAAGGGTGAAACAAAGGGCTCAGGGAATGCATGGGGCTTGATGAAAACCACAGACAACGTGACAGCTTTTGCCAGGAGGCCTCATATTTTCAGTGTTGGGCTTAGATCCTGGGGTCACAGGGTCTATGGAGAAGTAGTTTCTGCAAATTAATAGTATGATGCTCTGAACTGAGTACCTTGACACATACAGACAATATCCAAAAACAAGTTTAGGACCTAACCTGAGAGGGCAGGCGTTCATTTCAGGTTCACAAGCAACGCATAGGGCACCTGGATGCCATAGGTTGGCAGCTAGTTTTGATACCTAAGGCTCCCTTCTCCTCCTTCTCGAGCCAGGAGACCTCCAATTCAGCAGCAGAGCTGTCCATGTCCTGACAGGCGAGCCTGCTTTGTCCCCTTTCACATCGCCAGCTGGGGGTGGGACAAGGCGAGAGAGGGTTCAGATGCCTTCCTGGACAAAGGAGGTTTGTAGCTGCAGCCTGATCAACATCGGAGATAAGAGCAGCAACAGCAAATTGGCCCCGATGGGAATGGCAGCAGCACTCTTTTCACCTACAGGCAAGCCAGCAATTACGCTTGCAGTGCCCAGCATCCGTTTTGCTGTTCCTTCCCTGCTCTCCCCCATGCCCCTCGCTCCTGGACCAGGTGTGCTCAAGGCTACTGCGACGTTAGAAGCAGCTTGGCGAAATCTTCCACTCCTCCTCCTCTCCTGCTCAGGTATCTGGAGCCATGAGCTCTGTCTCACATGTGCTGGATAACAAAATGGAGAGGAAGGCATAGGGAGAGAGGAAGGAAAAAGGACGCGCTGCCACGTGCGTGGTTTTGTTCCACTTGGTGGGCACAGCCTGAGGGAGGTGAAGGAGCCTTTGGAGCTCCCACCCTTGGAGGTATCCCTGGCCACCGATATACAGCTGCTCCAGAAGCACGTTGGATGGACCGTGTGTGGCATGGAGAGGGCCAGAAGCACTGCACTGCTCTCCCCAGCCGAAGGAGCTCAGCTTCCTTCTGGCCTTGGGGAACCGGGGGGAAGAAAATGGGAAGGATGGCTTCAATCTGACAGCTCAGCTCACCTATCCACAAGTGAGCTGGAGAAGAGCCGTGGGCGTTACCTGGCTTCCCAAGGAGCAGCTCAAGAACCACATCAGATCTCCGGACAGCAAAACTACAGCAGGAGTAGGCAGCGGGCTCTCTCCTCGAGGCAATGGCACTGCTGAGGCTGCTGACAGGGGGCTCCGAGATGCTCAGGTCCCAGCGCTGGCTCCAAGGCTGACTGAATGCCTACAGCATCTCCTCCCAGCACACAAGCCAATAAGCAGATACTCAAAAAGCTCTGCATTTTGCTACAAACCTCCTCCCCGAGCTCCTTCTTTTGTCCCAGCTACCTTCCTTTCCCTGAGTCAGCACGGCTTAGAGCACCCAGCTACGGGACAAGGGCTTAATAGCATAGCTGGACAAAATTAAAGGGGCGTTATTAATTTGGCAGGTGCTGCTGCCTGGTGTCATGTCCCAAGTTTGTCCTATAGCTGCGCTGATTATTTTCTCTCCTTGGATCGGGGACGTTTCATTTATTAGCACTGAACTTCCCCCTCACTGCCTGCAGCCACTGCTGCTCTGATCTCCCCAATTCACTTTGCAATTAAATTTTGTCCTCTTGTGAAACGACTGTGCAAGAAAGGTCTTGTGCTTTGTTTTCTTTGGTTGTTTTTTTTTCCCTCAGGTTCCAATTGGTCAAAACAGCCCCTGGAAATCCTAGCAGAATCCCAGAGCAAAACTGGCTGGAAACAGTATTATATAGAAAAAAAAATGTCTAAAAGACAGAGCTTTGTGTATCTGAAACACTCATCTCAACAGGGAAGGAGGAGAAGGGGCACAGGAGGCCACTAAGTCTTAGCTGCAGAGGCATACATCTGACACAACCATGGAGTTGATGGAGATTTACAAGGAGGTGGCTTGGAAGGAGACACGAGGGGTTTCGCGCTGGGGAAGTTTGGAATGAGGAGCATGAAAATCATCATGTCCTTCCCTCCGTAAACACCGGCAGTCAAACCCACTGACGGGCTGGAAGGCTGGGGAGCACAATTGCTTCCATTTAAGTGATTTACTTTATCGTAACTGCTGCTAAAGCCCTCCGCCTTTTTCCTCAGGAATCACATTAACAGCTATAAAACCGCACATTTGAATTAACTCTGCTCAGGATCTGGTTTTGCTCCATAACGCCCCAGAAGTCACAAGGTTTTCTGTTTCTTTGTTTTCATCCCACTCCTCCTCCACACACACATCCCCAGCAGCCTTCCCATCAGTAGTAAACAACCACTTTTGCTGTTTCCCCTTGTGATGCCCTAATCTTCATTCTTCCCTTCTCTTCCTGCTGCAGGAACAAACCCCATCCTTCCCTGGACAACCCACACCAACCCTATTCATTCACAGACAGGAGGTATTTAGGACTACCCACTAGCACACCCTGGTCTGACATTTGTGCCTTCATGGGACTGGACAACCTCCCGTAAGCCCTGGATGCCTCACGAGCTTTAATTAAATGCAAACACTTCTCTCTAGGCTTTCTGGGCATCCCCCAAGTCCCTGTTCCCTCTCCTATCACTGAATAAATCAAAGGCTGGAGATAGCAGACGTGATACTATCCTTCCCCAGCAACCAGTGCTTTTTTCCAGGATGGAGCTAGCCTGCTCTGATGCCAGCCACACCAGCTTTTTTTTATGCCTACATTACCATGAGAACCACCATAAAGCGTAGCATTGAATGCTGAACCAGCCTTTTAATTGCTCCCAGGTACCAATCAGAGTGCTTTTATGCACTTGAGATGTTCCTTCTGATCCTCCACTTCCCCGTGCCAGGGATGGCTCCCAGGCTAGGCAGAACAGGACGAGGAAAAACCTGGGTAAAGCAGCTGGTGTAAGCTGCCTTGCCCTGGAGCTCTCCACAAGAGAACCACAAAGCACTTTGGGCTGGTTTAAGCAGATCAGCAAAGGTCAATACAAGAAGGAAAACAAAAAAAAAAAAAAAAAAAAAGGAGAGAGCTCAGCACGAGGGATTTGCAGAGCATCACTGGGATCTCTCTCCATCAGAGTGATCTGGCAATTCCTGAAAGGAGTGGGTCAGGCTCTCCTCTTACCCACAGCACCACGAACAGAGTTAGGTCCCCAGCTGTTGCATGCTGCAGTATCAGATGAATGCCCGGATGCTGCAATCACAGACAAAATCAAGAAACGCTGGGGGATCGCTTTATGGCTTGATTACCAGTTGCTGATCCTTGGATAAGTAAAGGTAAGAGAAAAAATCCAGGATTTCGGCACCTTTGTGGTTGTGCCTGTGAGTGGGGAGTGGCAAAAGGCTGACGTAGCTCTGGATAAAGAGATCTGACAGAAGGACAAATGAATAAAAAGAGACCCAACAAAGGGGCAAATGGCATGGGGGCATGTTTTTGCTCTTGCAGCCTGCCTAGCTAACTTTCCTTCTCATCCCCATCTTGAGTTCACCTCTAACTTTCTTCCTGAAGCCTTCAGAGCAAAGACAGGAGGGAGCACCGCGTTTCCCTCAGCTTTGAGGCAGAGCTGCATCAGATAGATAAGAAGAAAGAGGCACCAGAGGCCCACTTCACCAGCCTTGCCACCAGGTCTGGAGGAAACAACTGGGGCACTTTGCACACGTGTGTCCTGCTGACTGCTCCGTCCCTTCTGAGAAGGATTTCACTTGCCTTATTTCCTATTCCCAACAGCCCCACTTTCTGTGCGCGTGCTTGTTTGGGTAATTCTTGTTTCCTCCCATTAGGAAAAAAAAAAAGCATTAGTAACACTCCTGGTTTTAAATG